AGATAACTGATCCACTTCTTCTTTTAGCTGTAACTTTCAAGCTTTTTTCTCTTTGGATTCTATATACACTTTAGCAAGAATTCTCCACTTTTTCATTTTAAAAATTAATATTCCTTCCAACGACAAACAGCCATTTTAAAAATAAACGATAGGGGTCAGTCATTCAACAATTTTGAGTGCCTATAAAGGATCAGGCACTCTGAGGTGCTGAGAATACCATGGTGACACAATCACTGACTGCTTCTAAGCAAGACATTTCTGCAGGTTATTTTTATAACATGGTCATCTGAAATAGCCCATAGCTTGCTAAAGTCGTCTGTGAAGAATTTCAAAGACAAATATATTCATACATTTTATTTGTGCTTCCAAATAATCACACAATATCATTTTTTTAAAGATTATTGATCTACACTCTGAAATTTTTCTTCCCCTACATTTATTCTCTGTACCAGCTCTCTCCTCTATAATGATGGATACATTAATAAAAATTACATTTAGTTAATTAAAATTAATAAAAATACAGATCTGTGTTTATTTTAATCAGGAAATAACGGGCCTGTAAGTCCTTAGAGCTGACTTGGTTTAAAAACATTTAAAAATTTTCCAAAAGTGTATTTAGTAAACTGTTCAAAAATATGAAACAATATAATCATAATGCTATAATAACTGATTGTGAATAAATATTTGGTCATGATCTTCATGTAAGCTAAATTGTTAAAAATTTTACCTTTAGCAGAAGGCAAGATTCCACCTGATGCAACATTGATTTTTGAGATTGAACTTTATGCTGTGACCAAAGGACCACGAAGCATTGAAACGTTTAAACAGATAGACACAGACAACGATAGGCAACTCTCTAAAACTGAGGTAATTCAAATTTCATGTGTACAGTCTAATTTTGTCATCACAATTTAAGTATATCTGTGTTACAATTATTATTTTTCAGTTCTACCAAGCCTGAACTGATTACTTTGCTTTTATAAGAGCTGGTTACTAAAAAATCTTAAGCTTCAAAGAGAAAATGTGCTTTTTCAATATAAAACTTACAACTGAGTCATCCTGTTCAAATGCCTTTTTTCCTGCCAGAGGGTCATTAAAATACTGAACGAATCTCTACAGGCATATCCAGCATCTAAACTACAGAAGCAGATTTTTTTCAAGCAGCATTGTAGGGACTTAACAGTAGGGCAAACAATTCCTACCTCATAGGATTATGAGAATTACAAATGATTATGAAATTCTCATGTGAGCAAGAATTTGAATTATGTGAAGTACAAAGCTGGTAAGCAGGTGCCAGGAGTTCAGTTACCTAGCTTCTGTATTCCAGTTGGTCTTATATATTAACTGAGAGATTAATAAAAATCTCAGAATAATTTTTTTCCTTACTTTCTCAGTATCAGGTACTATCATAAGCACATTAGTATGTGAACTCATTTAATTTTCATGACTGTTCATGAAGTGGACACTATTGTCATTATCTCCATTTTATAGAAGCAGAAGATGGTGCCCAGACAGAGTAACTAGCCCAAGGTCACATTGCTCTAAGTGACAAAACCAGATTGCAACCCTGGCAATTGAGCTCCACTACTGTGCTCTTAACCATGGGCCTACCCTACCTCTTTCAGGGAATTTCCATCATGAGTATCTTCAAAATGTGTTGGGTATTTTACCCTTACGGTAGCATATCTCAACTTGGTCTAGCTGCATATCAAATACCTAGTGGTGACATGTGCTAGCCACTACCATATTAGGCACTGTTTATGTGTCTTTGCTTAGAGAAACGTCATGTTATATAGAGAAAGAATACCTCAGAATACCTGTTATTTGACATTATTATTAGAGAGATTATCAGTTATGCAAATTTGGGGAAGAACTATAGGAGTATAGAAAATTAAATTTTATTTCAAAATGTGGGATTGGGTTTTATTAGTTACACAATATATTCATTAGTTTTGGAGATTATAGAAATGCCAAATTGTATTTTATTCACTAACGGGAATGCTTGAGGGTGATTTTCCTTTGATAATGTGGACCCTATAGACTATTGGAAAGCATTTAATTTCAACAAAAAATTCAACTCAGATGTTTATCTTGGAGTATGTGCCACTATCTATAACCTGAGAGGAAGTTGATTTGAAGACCTGTTTCTCTTCAGAAAATTGCTTCAAAAGTTAAAAGAAAAACCTCAAATAACTTCTAAAATTTTTGTATCACTTCACTTACTGTAAGTAGTCTTAGATATGAGTTTATGTAAACATTTCCTCAAAGTTATTGGAAATTTGCTCTGACACCTTTTTATTAAAGAAATGTTATTTTGGCCTTCTAGATAAATCATTACCTGGAAAAGGAATTTGAAAAAGATGAGAAGCCACGTGACAAGTCCTATCAGAATGCAGTTTTAGAAGATATTTTTAAGAAGAATGACCGTGATGGTAATGGCTTCATCTCTTCCAGGGAATACAATGTGTATCAGCACGATGAGCTGTAGTATATTTTTATTTCTACATTTTCTTAGCCACTTTGTGTAAAACCGAAGTCACTTTTCTATAAGTTTTATTTTCTGTTTTTCCTCCATGAGAACATATTTTGATCCCCTTAATACATATAATTTTGGCATCATAAATGTGAAGCTATTTTGAAATGCTAACTTTTGTGAAAGGTATGATTTTGTCTGTGAACACATTGCAGCACCATGAAACAGACTGTATCCCAGTGGGCAATTTTCCCCCTTCAGGATATTAGAGGGCATCTATGTCCCATCTACAAACTCTTCTGAACTCCAACCTTAACAGCATGTATAAATATGTGAATATCCATTCTTTAATATTTTAAATGTTAAAATGCTCCCTATTTTTAATATTTTCAATTAGGACCCAGGAATTAATATTTCATTTAATTTATATGTATCATAGCATTGTAGGTAGTGGGATATAAAAATCACAGGACTGGAGAGCCTTCCTTCAGTGCGCATGCAGAAATACTTGAGTTTTACAGCTCTGTCTCACAGACAGCCTTAACACAGTCTCTGTACTTTTTGGCTTCTGGCCTTGGGTATTTGTTCCAATGGGCAATGTTTAAAGATACATGATCAGACCAAAGAGTGCCTCTTCTCTTATAGTAAGCATGAAAAAGTCCATATTGCTCTTGAATTTTGTACTCCCTCAGATGTCATTGTAAATGTGCTATTCCTTTTCCTTATGATAGGCCTTGATGCCTACTATCCCTAACTTTTTGTCTTGCTAGTTTTAAATTGACGCTGTGGTATCTTAGTTTCCAGTTCCCTTTCTCTAGGTATCTCTGTCCTACGTCACTTCATTTCACAATGTTCTTGTTATCAATGATGAATGAGCATTACAGACTGATATGCCATCAGACTTTTGATACAGATTTTATTTTACACGAGGATACATGAGGATATCAAATGATGATTCAAATGATATACAATACCATGGCCATTTTGTGTCATGGTCAAACCATCACAAGATCCAACTTGAGAATAGGAGGTAAGAGATGCTGTTAGATCACATTGTTGGTGCCAAAGAAAAGGCCTTGTTTATTGGAACATGTAAGGTTTTGCTTACTGCATATGTAGGAAAGTATGGTCAGGCAGTAAATAGCTCTGTTCAAAATAGCATTTTCCATTTTCTGAAACTTGCTCTTTGCAAACCATTGTTTACAGTTCATCTTTTAACCTCTTTAGATATACTGCCAGAAATACATTATTTACAAATATAGGGATAACACAAAAATCTGGTGAGATTAGTAGATATCACATATGCATAGCACAAAGTTCAACTTCTCATAAAACCAAAACCTTTACTGTCTTTTCTTCTCAGTATTTATTCATTCCTATGCCCTATAACTCCTCCTCACTTGCCTAGATCATCAATTCTTTCATCCTTTTACTTCTCTCCGAAAAACCTGCTCAGTTGAAATAAACTGGGTTGATGACTCAATATTAAGTATTGGTTTGGAAACCGCCCCCATTCTCTATTCCTACATTAAAAAAAGTCACCAGAGGCTTTTTTGATAGGTGTACTCATATTTGCATACAAATCATACACTCTTGCCTAAAAAATAAAATGAAAAAAGTTATATCTGGAAATTACCCCATAATACCAACTTTTATAATTCTAATTATGTCATTGTTTCTACACAAAGGGCTTTAAACTTATGTATTAAAAAATTCTGATGTTAATGTGAAGATTTACTCTAAAACTCAAATCACATTTAAATAGTTTAAAAAATTTTAAGTCATTCTGAATACATATAGTATATTTAGTATTTACACTATTGCTTTAGGCCTTCATATGTGTGAAGCACTAGTAGCACTGTAATCATATATTTAGAGTTAGAGTTTTAACATTCTAAGTTTGCAGTTACTTAAATGTATCCTTGCTGCCTGAACTTTAAAATGACAGAAGTTTTAAAAAGACAAAACTAGCAAGCCTATGTATACCACAGAATGGCAGCCCAGTACTATCAGTCACCCTGTTAACTGTGTACTCAAAACACACCAAGCTCAGGGTGCTCTTAATTTGATATAGCAATTAAACATTTAGGATTACATTAAATTATTAACACATTTTTCTCATTTTACCAGCCCTAAGGCAACAGAGTACCATAAAGTTGCCACTTGTGCACTGCCATCCCTAAATATTGAACTAAAGCCAATTAAAAATAAAATTGACACTTAGAAAAATCTATATAAAGAGTTATCTAAACCCAAAAAATACTTTTACAGTGACCGACAGATTTTATGAAGGAACATCTATATTCTGAATTTTACATTTAAATCTTTTTTAATAAAACAGTATTATAAATCTTCATGACAATTTATGAGGTAGACACTATTATTATCACTACTTTATAGATGGGGAAAATGATGCCCAGCAGGTTAATTTCTTTTCCCTCTCCCTCTTCAGTTTGCCACAGGTCATCAAAGTGAACCCAGATGATTTTGGAAAGGTGGCATAGTTGCACCTAAAACACCAGCAAGGTATATTCATTTTTTCATTTTATTTCATTCTCTTGTGCCAAACATCAAAACAAGGAACTGCATGAAGTCTCACATACTTCTGCCCATCAACAAAACACTGAAAGCACCCATAAACCGTCTCCCTTTTGAAGTTCCCCATTCCACAGAGTATGCAAGGTCCTTTTGGAATGTTGTGATTAAGCAAGTTAACTCGAATGTGTGTCCCTTCTTTGAGTGAAATATCAGTCATGCTGAGAGGTTTCTCGTAATCAGAAAAAAGATCATCTAAGTAAAGCTGCGAACGAGAAATGACATCCATCACTCTTCTATCTAAAAGAGACAAAACAGAGAAATATGTTAGATATCAAAAATATATAACCAAACTGCATTTATAAATATGTGAATCTAAACCATCACTCATGAAATGATTTGGCTTTTAAATTTAAATTCTTCCATGACAGACAGGATTATTGAATAGATAACCTCAATTTATATGTGAGAAGAAAAAAAATTTATTTGAAATATTCTTCAGTGGACATACTTCTTTCAAATAGTATATTTCTCAGTCTGTAGAGCAGTGCAAATGTTGCCGCTTCTTCCCTTTCAAATCCTCCTTTTGACACTGAAGTGACACAAAGGTCTATAAAAAAAATTTCAGAAGATGTTATAACTTGAACAATTCATATTTTATCAGTAGTTTTAGTTGTGGTTGTTGAATTCCAGTACATCCCACTCATTTTATTTAAGTTAAATTTTATATATTTTTGGAAAAGGTATTCATATAGTTCAAAATTCAAAGATACAACCAGGGGACTCAGTGACAAGTCTCCGATCTGCCTTAACGCCAGCTTCACTTTCCTACTCCAGAGATAACTACTGTAAAGTATTCCATATATTTTCACAAGTGTAAAGGAATATGTATACACGTATGTGTATAAAATTCTTTAAGCTCAAACAGTTACATACTACACACATTTCTTTTAAAATCTCTCTTACAGATTATTCCACGTTGGGATCTGTAGTGCTACCTCATTCTTCTTCATAGTTTCATAGTATTCTGTTGTGTGTATCCACCATCATTTAAGTAGTTGCTGTTAATAGATCTTAAGGTTACCTCCAATCTTTCGCTATTACAAATGGAATATCCTTATACCCATGTCATTTCACATATGTGTAAGTATGACTAGGATAAATTCCTCAAAGTGTAAGTAAGGCTAAGGTATATGTACATTTAAAATTTTGATGCTTATGTAAGTTCTATCAGTTTACACCTCTCTTAACAATCAATATAATTGTAAAAACCTACAGCTATGGATTAACACATAGTCTACAGGCACACACCTGATCATCTACAATTGCACTCTTACAACACTAAACTATGTGTTCTACCTTTATCTTGCATCTACCTACCACTTCAGCATTTTATTAAAAATAAAAATAATAATAATAATAAAGGGAGAAATGTGGGATCCACATATAAATCAAGTATAAAAATCAAACGAATATTTATATTTGACCTGATTGTTTATAGTTCATAATGCGTGATCAAAACTGAAAGTTTCTGTGATGACTGCCCTTGTATTGCTCACCATGTAAGAACTTATTTATTCACTATGTAAGAATTTGTTCACCATGTAAGAACTTGTTCGTTATGTTTCAGAAGATTGGAGACTGACGAGAACTAGGCTTGAGATGGATTAATGATTGTGCATTGAGCATTGACTCCCCTATACAGAATTTTATTGTTGTTAACAACCATTTGATCAATAAATATGTGAGATGCCCTCTCAAAAAAAAAAAAAACAAAAAAAAAACCCTACAGCTAAAGCATCCAAAACAGAATTTAATTAGCCTGTTTTGTTTTGTTTCTGACTCTCTGTGCCTTCCACAGAACTACAGAAACAAAAAAAGTTTTAAAATGTTTCTAAATTACCATGGCTAGGAGACTCCTTTGCCTAGTCCTTTGATCTACACCTGGACTTGAGCCTGGCTGGTCCCCTGATCTTAAAGACATGTGAAAAGTGGAAGTCTAAAGTCAGTTGCACTGAGGTGTTACATAAGGTGACCGTTTTAGGAGAAGTATCTGTGCCTTTTAAGTTAATTTTTAGGGAGTCTAGGGCATGGACAGCTGGGTCTACAATAGATAAAACTGAAGAAAAGTTGTCTTTGGATACCCTAGTTTGGGCACCCTGGCACCTTCAGTCTTCTTACTGTCTACCTACTACTCTACAGGCAATCATCAAAACCTACGTATCAGAAGGTCATTTATTATCACCTTGTGTAAGTCACAGAATCCTTTGTCAGTTGGTTACATTTTAGCTCTCACCTGTAATTATACAAAGGGTGGTGGGGAGTCTACAGCCCTCAACAAGAAGCAAGAAAAAGGTATTGGGTAAATAGGGACCAGAGGATCTTTCCCAGCTACTTCACCCAAACATAAGATTCACTGTGCTGAGAGTATCATTCTTCTATAATTAGACATGAGAGAGAAGAAGTGTTTCCCATTAAATTCTTCCTAAAAATAGAATTTCAGTGTTTCATGCAAATCATTTTACTCACCAAAGGTACCATCCAAGTAAATGAAGAGTTCAAAAACACTGAAAGCTATGGTTGTGTGTGCTGGAAAAACAATAGCTTTGTCCCTTCCCTTGGGATTCTGTTCATCCATAAAATGAAACTATAAATAAATAAAATAATATTATTAAGGAGCATAACAAGTAAGGACAGCTTTTTTGAAATCAAACATTTCCTGCAGTCCTACCAAAGGGGGGCAAATCACCTTTCCAAGGAATGAATTATCCTACTTGAATTAAACTGTTCATAGCAGGGGTCCAAAAGGTCCAACTGGGGACTCATGATCTATATTAGGAAATACCACGCACCACTTTCTCACTTGCATTGGTACTGGAGCCAACAATTAGTGCTACCTCAACAGCATTGCTCCCTGGCATAGCAGCCTTTTTCTTTCAACTGCAAACTAACTGGATTTAAGTGCTACAGTTGTTTATAGCCTACCCTGTCTACTGTTCCAAAGCCCCCAGAGCTTTCAGCAGCTTTCCAAACTTATTTTCCAAAGCAATCACCAGCAATTAAGTAAATGTTTCAACTTGTGCCCTCAAAATTGATTCAAGTTAAACAAGTTGGTGGGCAACTAAATGTAGCCACCCAACAGAACTTTCATTTGCAAAGACTTGAAAAGATTACCATTGAACCCTGTTTCTAACGATTGGTTTTAATAAAACCAATCAAGTCATTATGCATCATTATTATGTGAATGACCAAGACAAATAATATAATTGAGCTAAAAAGGAAACCAAATAACTTTCAAGATTTTTTTTTAAAGGATTTGACAATGAATGAAGCATGTTAGGTCACTGACAATATTATTTTAGAAATTTTAATATAAAAATATACAATCAACTTTTAAAAATTCAAGCACAAAATACATCACTTAAAAATAATTCAACACAAACACTCAATTTCATTCTTAAAACAGCATTTCAATAGTAGTAGGAGGGACTCCAGTATCCACATTTCGCTAGACTTAGTGTTTTGCTTGCTGCATTAGATTACACATTTAGAATCAGATTTTCTTGGACTTTTTTAATATTCTAAAACAAAACCATCACTGTTCAAATTCCTATATAAACTGAAAAAATACACAAGTCTCATTAGGAATAACAGAGTACTTTTAAAAAATTCCCATTTGGCTTTTTAGTAAGGGAAGCCTGAAGAGTCGTGGTTTACCCGCATGGCCTCCCCACGAATTCCAGCATGCACAGACAGTGAGCACTGCCTTGTGGTTCGAATGCTCTCCATGACCACACACAATATGGCTTTTCTGCTGCGCCTTGACTGACGAATCAAGCTGTGGTCAAAATTAATTTTTCTAAAATAAAGAAGAGACATTCACATGAATCTGTAATATCTCATTACATTTAATCAAGGACATGCTTTGCTATCATGTGTTACTTATTCACAGTCCACCTTAACTAAAAATAAATCGAGGTAGGTCTAACACAAATCACAACGCATGCTCTCCTATTTTCTTAAAACATGTTTATTTTAGGAGTCTGTTGGAAGAGACTCTCTTAGTATATTTGTTTCAAGCAGATTCTTGTATTCGTTTAACTAGTAATTTAGCAAATGTATGCAGAGCCAAAGCAATTTTGTGGAACAATTAAAAATTCTGTTTAAACAGAATGACTCTGGATATCTATCCTTATCCAAAGTTTGGATATATTACTAAATTGCAGCATTTCAAACAAATCAAATAAATTACACTATTAAATAAAACCTGAATGTTTCAAGCATTCTTTATAATTAAGTTTATATAATTAAAATATTTAATAAAAACACTTAAGTATATTAAAGATTATTATACTGACCGTGTACTAATTTCCTTCAGTAATGTTGATACTTCTACTTCATGTTTGGTTACCACACCAAATGAAGCTTTTACTGCAATGGAATCTGATCCAGCAATGTTAATTCCAACATCATTCACAATATGGTTGCCTCGCCTTCCATAGAGTGAAACATCTGATTGATCTTCATAATTCAGTAACTGATAAGATGAAATACCTTTAAGAAAAGGAAATTGTTTTTTAAATCTCGAATTCATCAAATGTAGATTATATATAGTAACACGTTTATTTACTACTTAAGACCCAATTATCCAAATGTTGAGCACTGCAGCATCTCAAACCAAGATTAAAAGTAGAAATTCAATTGATTTGACGAGAAAAAGCAATAAATAGCCAGAGTACTTAAAATGATCTCAAATTCTCTGGCCAATACAACTACTTTAGCATCAATATCCACAGGATGGTTGAAAGAAAAACGGGTCTATAAGAAATAATTTGTCAAAATGTCAATTTATTTCCTAATCTAGCTTGTAAAATACATTTCAATTTACCAATTACAATAACTAAATCATAAGAAATAAATATAATTTCTTTCATCTCATTTGAACTTGTGAGATAGGTAAGTCTAAATATTGTTTTATAAATGAAATATATTGTCATATTCTAAGTCGATTTGATTAAAACAATTTATAAACTTTAGCCACTGTTAATCTTAATATTATTACTATCATAATAAAGGCTGTTTTTAATCAATGAAAATGTGTAAATATTACAAACATAAGTAGTATATATGACCTACATTTAGATTACTAATGATATAACTGAATGAGTAGTCACTCCCAAGCAGACATTTAAACTTACCAGCTGAAATTTCTCTGTCTCCTAGAAGAATATCTTTCAGTGTAAAAGGTGTTGAGGTAAATTTATATCTAGGAAAGAGAAAGCATCGCTTCTTTTTTACCACCAGACTTAGAGGTTGGTATTTGTCAGCCTCACTAAGGCTTGGAACGGGAACTAATCTCCCTCCATTTCCAACTTGCTTGACAAAGCTCTTAGTAGCAGCAGCAAACATATTAAGGTGGTATCAAAAAGTCATCAACTGCAACCCTCAGACAACAAATCCATATTTTCAAAAAAATCAGGCGCAAAACTAAGCCTTCCTTGATTTTGAATATAATTATGCAAGTTTAAATACAAAGCAAGCGTTCATCAAGTAGCTTACCAGTGTACATTTCACAACACTGTCTCCCTGGTGTGCTCAGGTAATGAATTATAGATTCACGGTGTAAAATGACATATACTAAATGAAAGTCTAATTTGGAATTGCAGTCTATAAGCATTAAAATATACACAGCAAACTAATATTTTAAAATACTACCGGAGCCCTTGATGAAGGTCTAGGGTGATAGTAGCTTGCCAGTTTTGAGGGAAACATGGGCAATTTAGGGAACAGAGCAATTTAGGCACTAACAGCCTTGGACACCATCTACAGTGGACCTAATCCAAGAGGAATTCCTTCGCAAATTCACCATCCCATTTTTGGCAACAGAAAAGTGCTATTTTGAATCCTATATGGGTCATTCATTTTCCTTCTTGTATGTGTACAAAACCAAGTGATCAATATAAAATATACTGAAATGCATAGAATATAGGAAAGTAATTGTATGTAGATCTTTGTAAAATACTAAATGAAAGTCACATTACATATAAATAATTGTAAAAACTATGACTTAGGGTGATCTTACTCTGAAGCTGACACATAGGCAACACTTTTTTGAAATGGGTGCCTGCTCCATCTACTTTATTTCATATTACTAAACCATATAAGGTTTGGTTGTTTTTAAGAAATACAGCTAAAAATAAAATTTGGAAACTAATCAGAGTGCTGAAATGTATTAAAATAGTTATATGGATATTAATACATTTTGTAATAGCGGCTATGTGGTACTTGGAGTAAGATAAAAACATAACATTGGTGGATAGAAATCGACAGAGGGGATGGGGTAGAAGGCAGAATAGGCTTTATTCAAACCTCAAATAACATAAATTAATCATTAGATTCTGGGCTTTTTCATTTGCTTTCCAGAATGCAGGAGTGGCATGTAACCAAAAAAAAAAAAAAAAGTTTTTAATAATGTCCCTTTGTGGGAAGAGCACGTGCAATCTTCCAGAACACGAAGAAAACGCAAGGAGTCATTTCTCCAAGTGGCTGGCAAACCCCTAGATAAGCAACAAGACGTCTACTGTCGCCGTCTGACCCCCACCAAAGGTGGTGCAATCCTGGCAGACGCCAATACAAGTCACAACACAGGTGTGCACAGCGTATAATTAAAATCTGGTCCACAGAAAGGCCTCCTTTTACACCTAATGGGCCTTGCTAGGGTCCGCTGGTCCAGCTTTCATCTCGCAACAAGCCAAGAAGACAATGGAGATTGCCCGGCGGGAGGACAGGAGTGTCTCCGAACGTCCCCACGAGCTCCAGGAGGCAAGGCTAGGGAACCGGGAGAGTCCACCCAAGATCCACCTCAGGGGCGTGTACCCTCCAGGCTCTGTAGGAATTTTGCATTTGGAGTTTTTAAATCCTTTTCTTAAAATGACGTAACCCACATCCCAACGCCCCCACCGCTCCCCAAAAAAGAACCTGAGCTTCAGGCCTCCCAGACTCTAGGAGGCTTGCCCGCTCGATTAGCCATCTCTCCGGGCAGGAAACGGCCTCCCTAAGGCCTGGTGACCCGGCGCCAAGGAGCCGCGGGGCTGAAGGCGGGACGCCCGCGGCTGCTGTTCAGGGAGGGGCGTGGCTTGAGTGGGAGGGGCGGGGCCGGGCACCAATGAGACTAGCGTGCCAGTGGGCGGGGCTAGCAAAAAGCAGAGCCCGGCGCCCGGACAGCGAGGGGGCGTGGCCGGGAGCCGGCGTGCTGCGCTGAGGCCCCGCCCCCGCCTGTACCCCTCGCTGGAGGGACGCAAGCTGGGAGAAGGGGGGAGTGGGAGGGGAGGGGAGGAGGCGGCGGTGGCGGTGCTGGAGCTGGAGCGCTTCTCTCGGGCACCGGCCGAACAAGGGAGCAAAAACGTCGCTCCGTACTGCTCTTCCTCCCGCCGCCGAGCCGTCCCTTCTGGCCATGTCCCAGAGCAGGCATCGCGCCGCGGCCTCGCCGCTCGAGCGCGAGGACAGCGGGACCTTCAGGTCAGCGCACGGGCAAACCGGGCCGAGCCAGCAGGGCCGGGAGCGGTGGGCAGGAGCGGGGGCGGGGCAGCCCGCTCTCCGGCGGCATTATGGGTAAAGCCCCTTCCAGCAGCGGTCGCCCCCGCGGCTGCGGATGGTTGGGCGGGCGCTTGGCCCCGCCTGCTCGGCGGCTCGCGGGCCGGGGTCTGCGGCCTGGCCCCGCCTCTTCTGCGTCCTGGGGCGGTGCGCTGTGTGGGCCAGGTTAGCTGGCGGCCGCCGCCAGGGAAAGGGATTTGGAGGCTTGGTTCTGAGAGGTTATAGCACCCGCGCACCCTGCAAATCCTTCCTATCTGCGTTCAAGTTGTTTCCCTAAAGATCTCCTCCCTGCCCTCCCTTACCGGGACCCGCAGCGGGCCCAGGACCCTGCTTGCGCTTCGGCATCTCTGGCCCCGGCCGCCGGCAGCTTCGGCGCCTCCCACGTCACCGTTGGTGGCCGTCAAACTAGCCTCTATGCTTCTGCTTCCCCCGCCCCCCGCCCGCCTCCGTTTGGCCTGCAAAGCACACCTTTTTGTGGTTTTTGCAGTTTGGGGAAGATGATTACAGCTAAACCGGGGAAAACACCGATTCAGGTATTACACGAATACGGCATGAAGACCAAGAACATACCGGTCTATGAATGTGAAAGATCCGATGTGCAAGTACACGTGCCCACGTTCACCTTCCGAGTAACTGTTGGTGACATAACCTGCACAGGTCTGTATGCACAGTTAATCCCCATGACGATACGGGTTGGGGGGCAAGACTTGGTATTGCTTTTAAGTTCGGAAAAGTGCCCTTTTTACCAGAGACAGCTGTGAAGAGCGGGCTCTTGAAACTGACACTTCTTTTTAACTTCATCTGATTCTCCCAAATTTTCTCTTCCCCAGATACCAAGGGAAGCTCAGAAACATACTGTAGGATCCTTCTATCTAGGGTTCGTCCAAGAATTAGGGAGAAGAGAGAAAGGTTCTTGAAACAGCCATAGCTGGATCAGTAGTAGGTGGTGTCTAGTTTCATAGATGCCAGAATTCATAGACCCCAGAATTTTCTGAGCCTCTACCCTCCGTATGGACTCATTTTGGCACTTGGGGCTCAATATTGGGGGTATCCAAGCAAAATGAGGAAGGTAGAGGACTCTAATACACTATATTGCATAGCAGCTTCTAGTTCCTGACACTGTACAGGTATTTCAGTAAGATCTTATCCCCTTTCTTATATGAAGAAGCAAGTTCAGAGAAATTATTAGTAGTATCACCTTATTATGGTCTGTGAGTCTTAACAAATAATAACTGAAGTTGCCCATTTGTAAATGTAGACATTTATTTCTTAGATACCTTTTTAATTGCAAACAAAAGACATACTGAATACTAAATTTAATTTGGAAGAATGCCAAGAAAAAAAGTCAGCAGGAAGGCTTCCACACTTCAAATACTATCAAAAGGCTCATCATTCTGAAATCTGTTTTTAGCCCAGGCCCAGTTACAGAACAGTGAACTAACCTGTGCTTGCTGGGCATCTTTGTTTAGATGACCCAAAGCCACCTCAGTCTCCCATTGTCCCAAACTGAACCCATCTACTTCTCTCATAGCTCCATTCCCCCTCATTCTGAATTAGGGCACCACCATCACACACTAGCTCATAGTAGAAATTTGGGTTTCACCTGGACTCCTTACCTTCCTCTGCCTTTTGTCCTGTCACCAAATCTTACTTCCTAAATATCTCTTGGATCTGTTTCTTTTGTCATCGCGTTACTACTGTTTAGGCCACTGTCATCTCCCACTTGGGTTACAGCTACCTTCTTCTTAGCTGCTCTTTCAGTTTCTAGGCTTATGATGTCCATTGTCCAGCCAGTAACCAGAGTATTCTTTCTAGCATTGGGATCTGTTCATGTACTTCCTCTTCTTAAAATCCATACAGTGGTTTTCCCATCCTCTGGATAAATACAAATTTCTTATTATGACTTACAACCTTGCTTCTCAAAATGTGATCAATAGCAGCATTAATACCACCTGGGCACTTGATGCAAGTGCAGAATATCAGGCCCTGTGCCAGACCTACTGGAGCAGAGTATGCCTTTCCACAAAATTCCCAGGCAATTCCTATGCACAGTAAAGTTTGAGAAGCACAAATTTAGGAGATCATTCTCTGACCTCTCCTCTTACCCTCCAACTCTCTAGCCTTTTATCTCAGTATTCCTTCCCTCAAGCTCTAACCATACCCAGCCATTTGGGGGTCTTGAGAACACCTGACTCTTACCTCTGAGTCTATGAGGGTCTCCTAGAATGCTCTTTCTAACCCCTAGCTTCTTTACTAGTTTTTATGAATCTTTTAGGTCTTCATTTCGTTATCTCTTCCTTCATGAAAGCTCTCTGAAACCTTACCAAGAGCAGGAGAGCTGCCCCTTTTATGTGCTTCCCCTACAGCCTGCACTTGGGCCTGTTGTAAGAGTGCCACTTCATATTTCAGATGCCTACCCACAGATGAAATCCCTCACTAGCTGTGAGCTATTTTAGGAAGGGTAGGGTAGGGACTCTTTAGTTCTCCACTGTATCCCTAATACCTATGTTAGTAAATAAATGAATCTGGTCACACTTGGAATTTAGTCAGTGTCCCCTTTCTTTCCTCCACATTAGAGGAATGGACATCAGCATTCTAATACCACTTTCAAAGGTTTCTCTACACCTACTTTGAACTCAGAAGGAAAAAGATTGAATTTACCATTTACCAGGTGTGATTGCTTATTGAAATTAGGCATCAATCTGAGTGATTAGTCAGGCCTATCTCCTGACACCCCCTTGGAGACACATAACTTCGTCTCTCATCTTCTTCCCTATATAAACCTTCCCCCACTGTATTCAGCCTGTAGACATGACTGTATAGCCCAAGCAGAGGGGTTTAATACAGTATGGGAGGGGCTGTTAGAATTAAATTGTGCACATTTTGTTGTCAAACAGTATTGCTGTAAGTGGATCCCTAAAAGGGGAAACTTCTTGGTACAAGAAGAATTTCCTCTCTCTTTCCTTCGCCCTCCCCTTCCCTCTCCTCCCCTGTTCTGTTCTGTTACCATTTTATATCATAAACATATATAAGAAGACATAATAAGGATATTTTATACCAGTATACATAGAATTAAATCCATAGAACTTTAAAAATCATGCTTTAGTAGATTGATTTTCATGTGGCAAATATTTTATTTCAGTGTATAACTATGTAGTATATGTTTTTATTACCTAGTGTGTGAATAGAAACTGTAGTGACTATTCTGTATTGTGAAAACATCTATGCAAGCCTCACATTTTTCACAGCATACAAAGTCTTTTTTTTTAACCTTACTTCAGGTGAAGGTACAAGTAAGAAGCTGGCGAAACATAGAGCTGCAGAGGCTG